AAGCAGTTAAGTACCTGACTCAACAGAATTTTAAGTAATGCGACATTTATTATAAGTGAAATTATGATGAGTTGTTTAAAAAATTATTTATTTAAATCACATGAAACAATTAAAGAAATGAAAGATGCTTTAAAGATAGTTAAAAATGAATATGAAGAAAATTATTGTGTGTTTTGGTGCGAACGTGAAAATACACTTGGAAAGTATGTTAACATGTTACAAAATGATCTTGTTAATGAGATAAATCTTCTTGGAATTTGTAAATTATACCAAAAAGGTAATGAAGATGAAAAAGAAGTTCTTTTACTTTCATTTTCATTATTTAAACAAACATTTAAAACAAAACCATTTGATATTACTAAAGATTGCCTTCAAGAAGTAATGAAATGTTTTGATTGTATTAGTTGTATGATTGTATTGCCATTATTATTAGAAATGATTACAACTCAATCATTAATGGAGATTGCTATTAATTTAAATCTTATTGAAAAGATTACTAATGTACTCAAATTTGTTCAAACAGAAGAATTTGCAGATATTGTTGATGTGGTATTAGCACGAATAAGTGATAATGATAAATTTTATAATCACTTATTGAGTAATTTAGATTTATTTTCTGAACTTCTCAAATGTGAAAAAGATAATGAAACTGTTTCAGTTAAATTAATTGAATCAATACTTACTTATAAAGGAGTGGACGGTAAAACTACAACTGAATTAATACTAACAGAACATATTGATTTATTAGAGTTAATGCTTAATTCTGGGAGTAGAGATAAAAGAGATCAAGGTGTTATTGTTTTAGATTATTTAATTCAAATACATGGAACTGAGGCATTTGAAATTTTAGAGGCACGTGGTATTTTAAATACAATATTAGAATTATGTAGATTAAATAACTGTCAAGAGTTATTATTATATATAGCATTGACTCATATTTATTTTCATTCAGAAATTAAAGAATTGTTTGTTCAATTTTTAATAGATAATGACTTTATTTGTTTTTTATGTATTGCTATTGAAAATAAGCAAAATATTCATCAATCTCTTCCTTTTTTCGTTCAATTAGCAAGTAATAAAAGAATTCAACAAGACATTTTTGAAAGACATTGTGGTAATTTCAATAGATTAATGGTATTATTTAATGAAGATAATTTATCTGATTTCCTTACATTCCAATTATTAACAGCACTAACAAATAATCCGCGTTATGCTATTATTCTTGTTAGAAATATTCTTAATCAAGAAGGATTATTATCTCAAATAATGCAATTCCATCATGCAAAAGTACCATTAGAATATGTATTTCCATTTATTAAAAATCTCTTCCAGACTCATTGCAAAGACCGAGCATTTCTTAGTTGTGCATTGTCATCTTTTACTTCATTTATTAAATATTTCTCAACCATTAATGAATCTGCTTTAGTACCATTTATTGAATTGTGTAGAGCAATATGCAATCACTCTAGGTATCTTAGAGATTGTTTTGTTTCAACAGCTTATGGAAAAGAAAAGTTGTTTGAGAAAATAATGAAAATGTTAGCTTCTAATAATTTTAGTATTAAAGTAGCAGTAATGAAATTGGCTATTTCATTTATTGAAAATGGTCATGACTATAATGTATTAATTAACTCAAATCCAAATTTATTTATCGAATTGTTTAAAGGAATTGACAATCTTCCTGACCAACAATTTACGGCTATTTCATTTGACTTTGTTAGAGTTTGTCTTCTTCATAAACGAGAAGTAGAAGCTTTTAAGAAGTCTCGTGTTCTAGTACTGCTATTAATGGTTTTTAATCCTAATTCCTTACCAACTATATCTAATGAATTACTTAAAAGTTCACTTGAACTTCTTATAACACTTTTTGAAATTGGTATTAATTCTCTTGACTATAGTGGAATTGTTCCTCGACTATTTCATTATCTTGGAAATGTTCGATTTAATGGGCTAACAAATACAACAATATTATATTTAATTAGGACATTAATTTTTTTAACTAGTTCATTAAAAAAAGCAGTAAATAAGACTAGTGTTATTTCAGTTTTAGTTAGTTTAATTGATGATAATTGTTGTGGTGATTATGCTATTGAATTAATAAAGGTTTTGATGAAAGAAGAAGAGTTATTTATTAAATCATTAAGTGTTGAAACCCTTCAACAGTTATTACAAAAATCTTCTATAAATGAATTAATTTATTCATTGTTCACAAATCAGATAAACACTAATGAAACAATAAAACCTACAATATTAAAATTGTTATCAAATACTAGCATTGAAGATATACTTTTCTTAGCGGAAACAAAGAATATATCAAAAGTATTACAACTGGTAAATTGTATTCCATTATCATCTACAATAAACCTAACACAATTCATTAAGAGTTGTATTAATTATTTGCCAAGTCTTGTTATAAAAGACATTAATAATTTCATTAGTTTCCTTCAAAAATTAAAGTCACAAGAATTAGAATCACTTTCATTAAATGTTTCATTCAATACAATTTTATTATATATATTACAATATTCAGATGATTGTTCATTACATTTCTTTGAATTAATTAAACAATCGGCTCAATGCATTGACTTTATTTATTCATTAATTCCTTCTTTTGAAGTTCTCATTCAATTTATTCTTCAAAAATGTTCATATTTTGAAGTAATTATTCCATTTCTTTTATTTGCTGAATGTAGATTAGTTGTTACATCAAATGCAATTCTTCTTAATATTCTTTTTGAACGTATTAAAGATAATAAAAGTTGTAGTGTTATTTTAAGTCATTTGTTAATTGACCAAACATTCGTTCCTATGATGATTTTATCTGTTGATATTCGCTCATTAATTAATTCAAAAGAACAAACAATACAAGAAGAAATATTAAATATACTATATGAAGCAAGTAAAAATGATGGTATGTATTTAACAATTGATTTTATTGAAGATATGAGAACTTTCATTAATTCAGACATATCACTGTATCGTATTTATCTTCATATTCTTCTTCTTCATCTTCGCCATCAAAATATTACATCAGTTTTAACAAAAGAAATTATTATGAAGATTCTAGAAAGGGGGTTAAAAGAAAGGGATGATGAAATAATGAAATCTACTGTTAGTCTCTGTCAAAACCAACAAATATCATATTATTTAGGAATAAATGAAGCAAGAGAAATTATCTCCTTAATATCAAAAAAAAGAACAGAAAATTTGTCTGATAATTACTTGTCTTCACTTTTAATACTCTTTTCGATTATATCAAACAAATTGTCAAATCAAGAGGTCATTGATTTAATTCATAAATACGTTAAAAATACAACAATTTTATTAAAATCAAAATCAGCGATTATTTTACAACCACTATTATCAATTATTCTTATGACTCCAGAAGGTTTGTTAATTATTTTTGAGAAACAATAATTATTTAAAGGATAAATCAAAAAAACATCTAATTATATTAGATTTCGTTTCTCAAACAAAGAAACAGTACATTGAAAATATGGTAGAAGTATGCAAAGAAAATCCAACAAATAATATATTACGAATAAATGTCGTTAAATACCTTTCTTTACTTATAAGTTCTGATGATAAATTGGATGCCATTAAAGAAGTGAAACAAACAATTGGGTTTGATCATTTAATAACTATAGAAACAAAAGAACAGATAGAAAGAATTTTAAAAAAGATAGACCAAACAAATTAACACAACCTTGATACCTAATACTTTCTAATTTTTACTATTTTTCAACTTTATTGTTATTTCCAAAAATAATACGGCAGTTCATTTTTTAAATTAGAATTTTCTTGTTTCTAAAAAAAAAACCAACTAGTTTAGAACATATCAGACTCTTCTAACCGATAGATTAATCCCTATAACTTCCTTTTCATAAGAATATTTCATAAAAAAAATATTTTTTCTTTTTTATTGTTTTTCTTTGATATATAAAAACATGATAAGAGTAATTATTTAATTACCAATTTAGATCTCAATAACTATGGGAAACAACCACAACAAAACTCCATCTAGTAAAGACAATAAATGAGATTGGTTCTGAAACTATCAACAATGGACAGTGTAACCCAATACCCCCAAAAATGTAAAAAGTTATAAATTGTCAAAAGATCAGAAATAATAGAAAGAGATAAAACCCAAAATATTTTGAAGATAATAATTTTTTAATGAAAAGGATAAATAATTTTAAAAAATATTGAAGAAATAGAAAAAGAAGTATAAACCATTGACTTAGGTGATATTCAGTTAGTAAACACTTTTATTCATGTTCATGCAGTAAAAGATATTTTAATTTTATTGGTTATGAAAAAATTCAAAAAAAAAATATTTAATAATACAAATTGTTTGTACTCTACTGAGGGTAATTGTAACATTTATAATAATCATGAGAGTATTGAAATTTTCGATTAGAGGAAAATTAGAGAATGACAAATAGAATTAAGAAATAATTATATGAAAAATATGGACTGTTTTAGAGAATTATATTCTAATAAAGTTTCTCAAGTATTAATGAATCAATCTTTTTATAAAATTGTTGAGGCTGTTAAATATTATTTAAAATTTGCTTATCCAAATAGTGGTTATTAAAAAGAACAAAAATACATACTGATAGGATTTTATCAATAATATCTTAATTATACTATACCTACCATAAGTTAAACTCTAGTAGGAAATCAGATATTAAATCAACTTTTATTTTTTTAATAATTTTTATTATGCTATAAAACAAAATAAAAATAATGATTAATGTTATTTAGAATTACACAAAACCTGGACTAGTTCTTAATAAGAGTCATCAAGTAAATAGACATCTGTTTTTATAGGTGGTACTTCTTGAGTATTTTTCTTGTCCCATAAAAGATATTGTTTTAGTGCTACATTATATTCTTTAAGGGCAGCATCAACATAATTTTTCTTACGTGATGGAATGATACAATTTTCATTTTGAGTGTTATCATGTAAATCTTTGATTTTCTTGTCTAAATTTAAGATGAAAGTACTAAACAAAATGGTGAATAGTTGTTAGTCTAAACAATTAAAAAAATAAAAAAACAAACCGATCAAATTCTTTTAGATCAATATTAAGGTCATGTAATATTTTAGAATTGATTTTAGACTCTTCTTTTGAGAATTTGTCCCAGTTCAGATGAGATCTTCTATTTACAGTACCTCTATAGAGTAATAAATGAACAAATCCTTTTCTAACATCTGAAGACCAATGAAGAAAAAGGAGATTAAACCAATTATTGAGTAATAATTTTAAAATGATCGTACGTGCAGACATACAACAGATATTCATTAAATAAAATAATAAGTTTAATACAGATAATATCACTGAACAATTATCAGAATTAATTAATCCCTCTAACAATATCATTAATTCTTCAGCAGAAATAGTACAATCAGCAGGATGTTCTGAGTCAATATCAAGAAATTTATCATCAGTTTGTGGTTTCATTATATCATCTGAAGAATCATCTGAGTCAAGTGGATGTAAAAGAGCATAGGCAACACTACTTGGTATTTCATTATGTTGGGCAAATCCTTCATGTAATTTTGCTATTAATGATAAAGTATCAAGAACTTGACCAAAGTCAAATATATTAACATTTTTTAATAAAAGACCAGAAATTGCAGATAAATAATAAGGAGAAAGGAATGCCAAATGTTTTAATGTTTTCTTATGAGCAGCTAAATTATGTCTTCTCTTTGGAGGAAAGAATTCAGATAAATAAACATTAGTTATTTCTACAAATCCAGGAACTGCAGCCCATGTAATTGGATAAGTAAGAAATGAGAAGTATAATGAATCAACAAGATGTGAATAGAATGAGAGAAAAATATCATTTCCTGGATGATAAAGTTCAAGCCAAGTATCTCCACATTGATCAAATAAATTTTCTTGTTCATCAATAGATAATTCTTTAATATAACTATGAAATGACCTCCAAGAAAATAATCGAGGAAAATGCTTTTCTGCAATTTCAAGTTCTTCATTACTTACAGATAAGAATACATTATTTGAATCAGGAAAATAACTAATATGATCAAGAAATAATTCTTGAAAACTAGGTAACTGGAAAAATAACATTACTAATGCACATGGTGCAAAACGTAAGAAATGAGCAGAAAGACCACTTTGAATAAAATAAGAATCTTCAGGAAGTGATGTAGGTTCATTAGGAACAGCTTTATCTTTTCTGATTTTCTTTTTCTTGTCTTTTTCCTTTTCTTTTATTAATTTTTTTACTTCTTTTCTTTTGTCAACAAGTCCAAATAAAATTTTTGTCATAATTGGAACTGATTCAATTCCATCTTGTGCATGAAAAGGAAATGGTTTTGGTTTATCTTGAGTATTAAATGCAGAAGCACTATCCATAGCATCTTCTTCTGGAAGTTCTGTAGTAAGTTGCATAGGGTCATCTGTCATCTCAACTCTAAATGATGCCATTAATAAGTCTTCATAACTTTCATAAATATCGGAAATATGAAAATATGTTGCATATAACATTTTACGGTAATTTTCAGCCAAACAATTAATTTCTGAAGTTGCAGCAATATCAACAATAACAGTATGATGTGGTTGAAATTCAGTTCTATTCATTATATTTAATATGACTTTATACATTGACTCAGCTATTTCTTGTGCACTTAATACTTTAATAACTTCTAATGAAGTATCCCAAATTTTAATTAACGCACTTCCTAATATAACTTGATTCTCACCAAACTCAGGTTTTATTGGTTTTTTTAAAACAAATGAAACCAGTCTTAAGGAGTTATCAAATTTGATTAATAACTTTCTTTTTGTAAAGTTATCACGTTTCTTCCAATTCTTTAATTTTTCTCCTATTGAATTAATTTTACAACTAATTTTATTACAGTAATGCCCAAGCTGTTTATAGGTGTCTACATTAGGAACATGAAACTTTCTCGGACAATCATAAAACGAAACGAAATTCTCCATCACTTTTTCTACAAAAAATGAAAAATTTAAGTTTTTTTCACTTTCTTTTTAAAACTTCTTTTCACCATTTTCTTTTTATTAATTGTTTCTTTTATCTTGCTATTGACTAAAACGTAAAGTACCTCTTACTAATAATAGAAAACTATAAATTTTATCAGTTTATTATAAATTATTGTTTTATATTATGACAAAAAAATCTAACATTAATCAAATTAACAGTTTTCTCAAATAGCACAAAACTCTTAATTTCTATTATTCTTATAAAATTAACAATACAATATTTCATTTGTTAGTTTATTATTTAAATTCAACAAGTTAGTTTATAAATTATACTATAATTTTATTATGACTCCTTTTTTAGAACTAAAAATTGTTTCCAATTTTGGAATCTTAAAAAAATACTTATTTTTCAAAATGTTTTTGTTAAAAATGAAAAACATAAATTTTGGTTTTGATTCAATTGTTATTTTAAATTTAAAAAAAATATTACTAAATAAAAGGAAAAAAAAAAGAAAGAGTTTGTTTTAAAAAATATGTTATTTAAACTTTTATTATTTAAATCATCATGTCAAATCAACCATGTGTGATTCAGTCCTCCCCTATGCCCTCAAAGAAAAGGGTGAGCTTTGCAAAAAAACTTGAAGGGATAGCAGAGACTTGTATCAGAGAATTATCTCCTTATTCTCCTAGAAGTACAAGACCAGGATTTTTGTCTCCAAGAACTTCTTTTACTCCAAAAAAACTAAGAACAGGTTTTAGTTGTAGTACAAGTATATTTGGTCAAACAATGGAAAACATTATAAAAGAGCCATACCAACCAGAACAACTAATAAAAGAATTTAAAAACCATTCGTACCAACTCATTTCTAATTTAGATTACATTTATGTAAAACAACGAAGAGTTGCTTTATTCCATTTAGAACCAGAAAAAAGAAGAATTCTTCAAAAATTATGTAGTGATATTCTCCAAAACAAAATTACTAAAGAACAATTATTAACTCTTACTTTTTCAGATGAAAACATTCATGACGATAGTTGTAATGCTTTTCTTGATGATATAATTCAAAACCAAACAAGTCTTTTTCAATTAGAAGGAGATCCTTTATTTGACTCAGATGGAAGGATTGTCGAATGTTCTTCTGAAGAATTGTGGTCATTGGCCTTAGACCCTTTTTTACCTGAATACCTAACTTCAATATTTGTTTATGTAGCTCCTTTATTTACGTCCCTTGAATTTATTGTTGACCATTTACAAATGGAACAGAAGTGTTGTGATAATAATCCCAGACTTGATGAAGAACGATTTAAAAAGTTACAAAAAATAAGAGACATAGCATTGTCAGCCCCACGGTGCTATTCAAAAATACCAGCTAAAATTCAAAAACAAATGACAGAAATATTTACAATAAATAATACACCAAGAACTCTTGTTAATGAGATTAGGGGAGCTGTCAGATTACCTTCACTTCCAGAAAAAATGAGTGCTCTTGAAGAATTTGCAACAGTAAGATCAAATGGTCTTTATTCTTCAAGAAGGTCATACAAATTAAGAAGAGGAATGGCTACAAGTCTTCGCCTAAGTGAAACTGGACCTCACCCAAAACAAGAAGAGGAAGAAGAAAAAGGTACTCCATCTATTCAAATAACCCAACAATATGAAGACGTATTCTTTTTATTTAAAGAAAAGTCTAGTGTTATTGCACGACAATTAGCTTTATTTGATCAAAAACTTATTAAAAGAGTTGAAAAATATGATTTAGTAAAAGAACAAGTTGATAAGTGTAAAACTATTCAACAATATGTTGAGAACCTTCAGAGAGTTGAAGAATTTTTCCTTGATATTACAAAAGATAAAAAATCATTAGAAAAAGTTATAAAGTTAGGATGTTGTTGTTCTGATATTAACGAAATGAATATGGCTCATTTGATTTTTTCTGTTCTTGTTAGAAGATCTATTGATCTTAGTGAACAATTTAAATCTTTAAGAAAAGAAAGAAAAGAAGAATATAATAAACTTTATTCTCTCTTTTCAATTGACAAAAATAATGCCATTTACCGAAATCGTTTAAAAATTATACCTCCAACAGAACCAAGAATTGTTGTTTTTTCTTTGTGGATGAAAGACATGATTAGTCTTCAAGAAATTAATGTTCATTTAGGAGACTATTTAAACATTAATAGATTAAGGCTATCTGCAATGAAAATAAATGAGTTCATTACTTGCCAAAATGAGGCTTTTATGTACGAAGAAAATGAGGAGATTCAGAATTATTTTATGTCTCTATAAGTAAAAAATTTATCTTCTTTCATTAAAAAAGAATGTAAACTTCTGTTCTATTAAAAAATAACTCAAATTTAAAAGATGTTCTAAAGAGTTTTTATTTATCTCTTTATCTCAAGCAACACATCACCTAACACAATTGTATTGAAATTCCTTCTATTAGTAAGTTTATGATTTTTGTTTATAATAACCTCTGACGAAATAAAGTGGTATGTTCCAAGTCTTTTAAACCAAGGTTTAAATATTTTTGTATTAACAAAAACTGTTTTACAATGCATTTGGTTCTTTTCTTTATAATTCTTTTTTGACTTTTTGAACAGAAAAACTAATACAAAGAAAGTTGAATAAAGAGAAGAACTTAAAAAAAAAAAGAAGAGAAATGAAAGAGAAAGTAATAGAAATATTGGAAGAGATAAAAGAAAAGCCAGAAGGGGAGAAAGAGATAAGAGACAAAACGGGGATAGAAGAGGAGATAGTTAAAATAAGTTTAGAAGAGATGATAGAAGAGAAGATAATAAAGTTTGTTAAAGAATAAGAGAAGAAGAAAAGAAATGAAGAATAGAAAAGGGAAGAAAGAAGGGATGTATTATTACACACGAAATGAAGAGAAGAAGGAAGAGATAAAAGAGGAGATAATAGAAATACTGAAAGGGATAGAAGAGATGAAAAAAGAAATAGAAAGATATGAGAAAGCAAGCGAAGAATCTATGGAGAAAGTTCATAAATACAATGAGATCAAAGATATAGGACAAGAGCTGATGGGAAGGAATGGACAAATTTATGGGAAAACAATAGAAGAAGTGTACAAAGAATATGGGATGGGATATGAAGATTAAGAAGAAGAAACATAATTAAAAAATATTTATTAATAATTATAAAAATAAAAAATAAAAAAATAAAATAAAAAAAAATAAAAAAATAAAATAAAAAAAAATAAAAAAATAAAATAAAAAAAAATAAAAAAATAAAATAAAAGATGGAAGAAAGAGAGAAAGAAGAAATAATGGAAAAAGATGATTATGAATATTTAGAAATGATGGAGAAAAGGGAAATAGAATACAAAAGAGAGATGGAAGAAGACATCAAAAAGATAGAAGGGATAATCAAAAGAATTAACAAGAAAGAAAAAGTGAAAGAGAGAGTCGAGAAGAAAAAACAAGAAAATGAAGAAGAAAAAACAAAAGAAGAAATAATTGAAGAAATTAAGAGGAGAAAAGAAATAGAGAAAGGAATTAAAGAAAAGATTGAAGAAGAAACAAAAAAAATAGAAGAAGAAATAAAACAATACAGTTTGAGAAAATATTAAAAAGAAGAAGAAAAAGAAAACTAAACAGAAATAGGAGAAGAAAGAGAGAAAAAAAGAGAAAAGATAGAAGAAGGAGAAAGAGAATTACAAGAAAATAATAGTTTATTAGGACAATTTGGAATTGAAGTTGAAGTTTGGAAAGATGGAGATAAAAAAATCATTAGGATTATATTCGAAAAAATGAGAAAATACAAAAGTGGAATACTTGAAATGAAAATAGGAGGTGGTATTATTCGTGTAATAACTTGTCAACCTGAAATTAAAGAACTTGATAGAT